GTGAATCCAATGTATATAAAAACAACATTGTTATTGTTAAACGCACTGTAAGTTGCCCGTACGCGATAGAAAGGCGTTTCTGTTAGTAGGTACACTGTCGGAGTAGTATGGGACGCAAGTAAAGGACTGACGAGGACTTCTTTCGTTAATTACTATTATACTCCCACCGCCACCGATTAATTGAAATTGCCCCCTCGGCTCGCCACCGCAATCGTCATTATTAATACTATCGGATGCCATTGTAATACCCGGCAGCTACTCTCGTATACACATACTTATTTATGTACAGTATTATTATAATAGTGAGAGAGCCGCCTTGGACTAGTTTAAATTGCTTACAAATTGACTCCCGGACAAAAACACTGTATCGAACAGTGTGCATGCAATTTAGAACGTCTGTATCGCGCTCTATTACCATTTTTTATTTCTTTAGTTAATTTTACCGGGCGACCGAAGAATGTAGATAATGAAACGGCGATTTTGTAGAAATGGATATTTTCTTTCGACAGCATCCTGAAATTATAAAAATTATTTGTTAGTCGCTGCAAATATATATATATATACTTAGAGAATATATGAAACACTCAAGAACCAATTTACGCACATAGGCTGCATGTGATGGCTGAGCGTACTTTGATCTCTATAATTATCATGGACACAACACTAAGATATCTAGTTGAAAGATTCGCTGTATTGACGATGATATCAAATATCATCTAAATAAAACTTAAGTAAAAAGTCCTAATGCTAAAAGATCAAAACAAAACTTAAATAACGATTACTGAAAATCATACTTTATTTACAACATTGCACGTCATCCCGAGGACATGAAAAATTCTAAAAAATATCAATGACCGGTAGCCGTTTTATATGTTAGAAAAACGAAAGCACTGTATATTATAACTATATGCTTGACATGTTGACTGCTACCGATCGACGAAATTATTTCTCTATTTTGTTTGTAATATTTAAAAATAAGTCAAAAACTTTCTCCGAAGTTAATTATCTTATCGTCATAGAAAAGTACTCGATTAAAAATTCAATAAAATGTGATCATTTTTAAAATACACTTTGTATCGATATAGCGCAAAACGAAATAGGACATGTAAAATATTTTCAACGAAATAGGCGAAGGCTAACTTTTTATAACGGATGAGATAAGTGTTTTTTTAAAGTTTGCTCGAATAGCATTTAAACTATAGTACTGTAAACTATTTACTCGAGTAATCAAGCTACTTCAGAACACGATCACAGACATCTCCACGTTGAAATAGCAATCACGAAGCTGTTGCGGAGGTCTATTGGAAACTATTTCGTTGTCGGGCCGCTGTGGTCACGCGCGATTGTCAAATAGCGCGTAACAAGGCGGTGGTCCTAACGAGAATAGGACATCGTGTGTTTTGAAAAGTTTAAATGTAACGTAAAAAAAAAAAAATCCACGGTAAATGGAAATAAAGATTATAAGCAGTATGCATGTTCGCAGTTAGAAAAGGCGACTAAAAAGCAAATCTCGCGGAACGGACACGTCCACCGCCGCACACTGTTATAACAATAACACTGGTGCGATTTACAATAACGTATTGAGGCGTACGAAAGGGGTGCCGAATAAATAATACTTAATTTCGGTTACCGCCAATAGGATGAAAAAACGGGTAAAATCGAAAATTACAGGACGTGGAACCGTTTAGACGACCGTCACGCGGACAAGGGTATACGTGTCCGTGAAATCGCCAATCGTTCGGTTAAACAAATACGGTAAAAAACAAATAATCGTCTTGGACTTGGGTTGGGTGCTTTGGTCGCGGCGGCCGCTGTACGGTGTTTACAGTCAACGCGCATCATCTCATGTTTTCCTGGTGTAAAATTGTTTTTTTCACGGTCAGTATACTCGAATTCAATTTGATAACAGCGATCGTGATAAATTTAAATGCCGTACAAATATGACGAGTCAGAAAAATGAAAAAACTGGGAAATAATTCGTTTACTCAGTGTTCTATCAATGTTCGGTTATATATTCCGTTTTAATTAAACTAAAGAAAATAATTAAATAAATAAATAATTAATTAATTAAACGAATAAATAACAAAAACAAACACTTATTATGGTACATTATGTACCAGTCAGTTTTCGTAAACTACGTGGAATTTGAAATATTTTTTTTTTTTGATTTCGACGAAGAAGACACGCGTAATCCTAATACCGGTTTTTGGTAAATAAATTACTATTGGTCTCTTCACGTCGTTTATAACATAGACCTATAAAAAAAGTGATTCATTATTGTCGTTATTGCCGACAATATTACAGCTTACGATTTGTAAGCGATTTCTGTTGGAGTAAGCAGCTCGAGAGGCAAAATTTCTTATGTGTTGCTCGACAATAAACATGTTAACTTTATGTTTTCTCATCGCGTCAATTTAATATATATCGTAAAATCGAATGTAAAAATATTTACATTTATTTGAAAATTACAGACTTATTTGAAAAACAGAAATTGTGCGTCAAAATTTAATGGAAAACAAATTTCTAGTGCTTATGCGAATCGAATGCATTTAATACCGAGATTGAACTGATCTCTCAGCCAAATATTACTCTTACAGTTCGTTATTTATTCTTATGCAGTTCGATTTACAGGAATAATTTACGATAGCAATTTCAAAAATACATATTCAGTTAGGAAAGTTTATGTTTTTTTTTGTTAAAAAATTGTTTTTACATTATTTTCACTGATTAATTAGTAAACGAATCTTTCTTGCAATAATGTGTTGCTTGATGAATATTAATATTTGTTTTAACATACGATCATTCTAACGATAGCTCAATATTCTTAGACATTTGGAGAAAAAAAATGAGACTTTGATATACATAGCATATATTTAAGGCGCATGAAACTGCTCATTAATATCTTGAAATTCGAATTCAATACATTTTAAATTTATTTAAATATATTTATTATTCAAAATAATATAACGAATAATCAATATTTTTGAATTCATTTAGGATGTTATCTTCTAAGGAAGCCTTGTTAGATTTTTAATTGGTCAATATGTCATTTAATCGATTCGCCGATAATTCAAGATTTTGTTGTAAATTATTCCGAGCACTATAACCGCTGACACCATATTCTCACGCTCTTTCAGTTCGGATTGAGTGCGGTTGGATGTACTGAACTGAAATGCAGAAGCATCTCGTATGCCGACCAATGGTCACAAAACGTGCGTTAAAACAGTCACGTTCCCTGTGCATCATAAAACATAAGACTGTATAGTAATAGCAAAGGGATGCAAAGTGCCGTCAATAGTTCATAAGGTTAGCAAACATCAATAACATGCCGTGGTCGGTTAGTGAATATTTATATCTCTATTGACCCGTCAAACTGTGTACACACACTAAGAAAAGAGATCTCCGTGGGCATTAAACACATATATAATATTATTATGTTACATACCTACTCACATCACTACCACAAGTCTTCAACACGTTATTTTTTACACGCAACTATTGTTATCGTCCTTGTCAACCGTATTTACCGAATAGGACATTTTTTCTGATTTAGAAACGCCTTCTAATAGCAATCCATACATTAGATTCTGATATGTAATGGTATAAAATTGAAATAATCTATAAATATACGACGGTCATTATTCACACATTTTTATATTTCTAGAAGTAGCAATTAAATTTTATTTATTTTTTACTGAGATTTTATCAATGTGATTGAAAATAATAATGACATATTAAACGCGTCAATTTTATTATAATATGAGATTATACGTTGGGAACAAAATATCATTTCGTTGATCAAAGCAGCACAAAGCGATGCTCATAAATGCATTCAATTTTCTTATAACTGTATAATATAGTGCCCATTACCCATTAGAATTTTCCCATTGTCCTAATCTATAATTTGAATAATTGACATTTAGCCGTTACAGTATGTGTACATTTAATTCAAACTATTTGGTTTCTCTCAACGTCCGGAGTAACTAATGTTTGCGTCAAATTGGTGAATTATTATTTCATTAAACATTAGTATGATAAAATTTTTCATACCATGTACTCCTAATTGATTGGATAAGTTATAATTTGTAAGCGCTCTTCAAATGTCCGATTACCACACGCTTGAAATTTTTCTATAATTGCATTAGTTGTTTTTATAAAATAAAAATGTATTCAAGAAATCTCGGTTGTTTTATTTTACGTCTTGTCCAATGTCTTTAAATCTGCCGCTTGTTTGTCGTTAATCCGTTATAATTGCTTATACACGATGAACAAAGCCGGCAAATGCGTTTAAGTCCAATAGAAAATTATCTTTCCCTTCGGTTATTCAAATATTACTAATCAGCAACAATCGGAGTATTTGTTACAATTAAATGTTGTAAATTTTATGAGTTCTGATAGTTCGCAATGAGTAAATGCAACATGAATGTTTTATAAATGTTAATAAGCATAAAAACAAGAATGACTAGCAAGTGGTGTCGGTCTAAAAGGACTCACGATTCCATCGAGATTAAACAAATATAATTTAGTTTAGAAAATCGTATTGTCGCAATTAAAAATAAACAAACCTNATGTTGTAAATTTTATGAGTTCTGATAGTTCGCAATGAGTAAATGCAACATGAATGTTTTATAAATGTTAATAAGCATAAAAAACAAGAATGACTAGCAAGTGGTGTCGGTCTAAAAGGACTCATGATTCCATCGAGATAAAACAAATATAATTTAGTTTAGAAAATCGTATTGTCGCAATTAAAAATAAACAAACCTTACTACTGTATTTTTCAAATTTATCGCCATCGTGTACATTCATTGTACTGCGCACTTAAAAAAGTGGTTTTGTGTAAGAGTGATTTTATGGTTCACATAAATTACTAAGATAAATTGAAAAAAATCTCCAAACAATTGCTAATGGTTTATGGGTACCTAAGGCCATTACTATTTTAATAGCTGTGCGTTTTATTCTATGCAACTAACCATGTACATGTCGGTCGATTGTTTCAGATAAGACACAGATTTGGGTGCTACGACCAAGTTACTGAGGTGAACAGACTCCGAGTGCGTTATTGTAATTGGGTCCGGTTTTTGAAAATCACCCAGCATCATTCTGAACAACATGTCAACGTATTGGGAACCAAAATAAAAGGTATACCTTGGCATAGCTTGTATGTATATCATGTGAAATATCAGCAACCGGTTCCATTTGTTTTTGTTTAACCGATATACGTTTTTATTATTATTAATATTTATTCACGACCATTACGCTTATATTCGGGTATCTCGTTGAACCTGTTCAGGGTTTAACACCGTGTTTCGTGGATTTGTAGTCAATCCGACGATGCTCATTACGGCGTGTGAGAATTACACTGCGTTTCGTCACATTTCTGTACGCCGTCGTCTACAACATGTATTCGATTATTTATGTACTTAATTATTTATAACAGGCGAGCCGATGTACGAGGTGATCAAAAACATACCTGCGAACTCGGAGCTGATCGTACACTTTCTTCCAGAGAGCCCGGAAGAAATTTTCTTCATGCCTGCCGTCCACTATCTAAGAAATACACTTTACAGGCGGACCATGGACACTATTCTCGAAGGTAAGTCGCACGACGGAATCGATCAGAGCATTTTTCTGATGATATTCCTCATAGCGTATCTATTACATTCTCGATGCACCTCCCGATAGTCAACTCCAAAGTGTCAACATAACACGCGCGGCGATTACTGATAAAAGGTTAAACAAAGTTCATATTAATCGGCATTCGCAAAGGCATTTCGCGCGGTAATGAAATTTTAGAAATTTCACAGTAAAATCACTCTGATAACGGTTTGTTGATATCGACTCTACGCTTTGGTTTAAGACGACGCGATCACATCAAATACCATAAATATACTTTCTTTTTACGCGAGCTTCTTAACTTGAAAATATCACTGCTAATTATTATGATATTATCGTTAAGTTTTTTATATATTTTGTTTCGCCTCGAATTTCCATCATTTTTATTCGCATATAAAAACGAACCGATGAACAACGTGAGCACTTTGAAAAACCACTTTGTCGTAAAGCAATTTTCCTACCAAAAACGTATCTAACGATGCGCATTAAGTATAGACACGTGATTCGTACGTCATATAAGAAAAGTGACACGACTCTGGCGTCCGACTGATCTCAGATATAACTGTCCGCAAATGTATCCAGTGGCGGCAACTCCGAAGTAGTTGCGCTTCGCAAAATGGACTTGCAGTAATTGCTGTCCACATATGCAAATAGTCGGCTAATTGAACCGCGGTCGCATTATACACAAACGGTGGTGTATAAACGGAAGCCACGGCGGCCACATATTATAATGTGCGGACGACGAAAACCAACGAGATGGCCAACAATAATTACCCGTCTGAAGCCAATAACATATAAACGTTTTCTATGCATTATAGATACGGTTATTGTATACGAAACAGTGGCGGGAAACAATGGGAAAGTCGGTGCCTTTGACTGAGAACGGGGGTCCCCGGAATGCCATATTTATCTTTTAGCGGGCACTATATCGCCAAGGTGACGGTTTCGACGGACGACGTCGGCAGCAATAGCAACAATTCGGTGCATTCCGCCAATGACGACATGACTCCACCATTACTGCAGTCGGAGCGGTACTACAGTTGTAGATCTCGGAGAATGCATTTCAACTCGGCTTTATTTTGTCAAAACGAGCGTTTTCTTGAGTTTTTTTATGTGGCGCGTTAGAAGAGAAAAATCGTTAGTTATAACCGATGAATATAATCATTCACTCATATCTCGAGATATTATTACAAATTTACCGCATAAAATGTACTTAATGCTTTCCATTGAATGCAGTTGAAATATGCGCCTGCTCGTTCCTCTCCCGAGGAGTTTATAGAAAACAATAATGCACTCTAATAGCGCAGTATAGTTAACAATTTGGAACTGAACTAAGATCGGTTAAATTGTAGTCACAAAAATATATTCACCCATGTCATTCATTACAAGTAGTTTATCAATTCTTTTGAATGATACATTAGAAAGTTTAACTTGTAACGTGTGATTAATATAATCAGCGTGCCTGAGCAACTACACAGAAAACACTTCAGTCCAATTATAAAATCATACTGAACGCATGCATTTAGATATAGTATTTCTTCAGGTTCATTTTTACTCGATGTAAGAAAATATAACGTTTCACTTGGTACTAGTAATTCCGGAAACGATATTTCCATATCTCATACTCAGTATCTCATAGCTCCACACAAACGTTGTGTTATTATTCACGTACAGTATGCTATCAAGATAGTAATTAGTCATGACAGTCACATATAAATCAAAGACTACGACGAAATTCAAATAAATTACTGAATGGAGTTCCGATACACGTAGTAATTACGAGGAGTTAATGGCGTCTTTTATTTTATAGCATAACAAATCTTGGTGTATGTGTAACACCTACTGGCCAGCGAATAGTCGAACGGAGCAAACACTGGTATACAGTAGAGGAGTTTCTAAAAGTGCTTAGATCAAAACGATACGTGATCATAAAATATCGAATAAATTGTAGTTGTACTATCAACTAAAACTGCGCGAAGCTTTTCGAGTACCAACTATAGAAAACGCAACATCCGGTCGATATAAAGTAATCGACTGTTTCCTGTACTGTGTTCTATTGTGGCCCGACTTGAATCGAGATTTTATACAGAGAACGGACTGTAAAAGAGGTAAAAAAACGCGCACGCATTTTGGATCTCTATGGATGTCCGTGTCTGACCGGCGGTTGTCAGTCAGTAGTTATTTCTTCAAATTGAAAGGAATCAGAATTGTCGATGGACAAAAGAATAGCCGTCCGAAAAGTCAGAACTCTTTTCAATCTCAAAACGTGACGTCTGCAATAATGACCTACAAACGCTGGGGCACACTTTGGACCATTGTCTCGACAACACCTCGTTTTCTCAATCTTTAAATCTCAACACGAAATCATTGCTTCCTCTTTGACTACGGACAAGCGTTAACCGGGAGTTAGTTAATCTTCGTGCTAGAAGCGCATCTATATAACTATCGACTATTGTAAACACGAGTGGTATGCGCCATCAACCGTGTGCGCTACACGTGTGTGTTATTATTATTTTTTTATTCTCTACTCTCGAATCTAACAAGCGTACATTAGGCACGCACGAGCCATGTCCACATCAACAATACATTACCATTTTTTTTTCTTTCGCCTCCTCCACCACTGATTCACCCAGCTAATTACATTCGTCAATGGATCTGCGATCATCTGAAACCAGTGGAAAAATGGTTACTGGACTATGCTGTTACGCGTCACGCTTCATATGGACATTGTTACATTAATATTAATAACAGTAATAAAAATATTTGTCTCGGTATCCAGTAAGGCACGTTTATTTTTTAAAAACTTGTCATATTTTCATAGAAAACCTATTCGAAATTGATTCCAACAAAAAAATTCAATAGCAGATATTGAATATTGATAATATATTGTATTTATTTAAAATTATGTATATACATATTAAATTACTGATCTTCAACTACGCGATTTAGGCGACAACCAAAGGTCTTCGTAACGTTCCAATAGATTGTAATTGCAAGTTTTACATTACACGACCTTGCGCAATTCCTTATACGTACTGCAAAAATAACATCAACTCGACTGCTGTTATTTATTTGCTCAAATGGATTCGTAACAAAATAAAGCGAAATGTATTCATTGGGAGTGCGACTGTACCCGATGGAAAATTTCAAACGCGCTGTGATTATATGGTAATTCCCAGATCGAATTCGAATCCGGGCCGAACATCGTCAGTGTCCATCGAGAATCGCTTTTAACGACTCAGGTGCTGTTTATAGTCTTATTCGAATGGAAAAAAAAAGTACGCGCACGCATAGAAAATCATACGTATAAAGAACTGAAACGAGGGAGAAAGAAGTAGAATCTGAGACCAATACTGCCGTGCCATATATTATATGGTTTGTCCATTGTTCTGGTGGCTATTGGTGATTGTGCGGCGGCGGCGGTGATATGGGCTTGTACAGTCGGCGGCGTTCAATTGCAAACGGTAGCGGCACGTCCTTCTATTGTTTGGCGGCCGTCCGAGTATTGTGCGTTATATCGACAGCCGGTGGATATGCATAGTGTCACGAACTTGATTTGCGTCTGTCTGCTCATGAAGACAACGACCATGTCGTTTTAGGGACGCAGCAATCGTTTCAAGTCCACGGCAACTAAGAATAGCGCGTTCAACATAAACGATTTCTATTACATTACCAGTGAATAATAAAAATAATATTGTACGACAATTATTCACCCAGACTTGTTTCATTTAAAGCGGAAAATATTCCGTTTTAAATGAAAAAAAAAATGTCTCGGTTGTTATTCGCGCAAACTTTACGTTTCTGACGTTGTAGAACAACATTACATTTTAAACTCGCGGTAGTCATTAAATGTATGCCTCAAACATAAAAAACTATATGATATTCCCTATTGTCATCGAATCAAACAGACAACGCGTTAACCTAAACTTACTATCATGCATCTGGTCTATGTTGAAATGTAGTTATGAGTCCAACAACATTTAAGAGTAATTTGATTATTTATGTCTATACGTATTTTATTTTAGATTCACCTCTGGACTTGTCTATGTCACTATTGTCCAGAGTGTTCAGCACGTCTTCCGCCTCATCGGTATCATCGCCGCCGAGTGGTTTAGATATCGACGAGCGCAAATCTCTTTCCGATGAATCCACCTCGGGAAATTCACTATCAGGAGATACGATCGACCACAATATCCATACGATCAGCACGACTCCGGTAAAATCGAGACCGTTCAGAGGAGAGCGCACCTTATTGCCGTGTGAGGTTTGTCGCAAGGCATTTGACAGACCGTCGTTACTAAAGAGACACATGAGGACACACACTGGTAAGTCGATGCTATTTAATACGGGTGATATTTTATTAGCTTTCAAACTTTTCATTCGCTCATTTTGAAACGTATATAATCATTATATATTTATAACATAGTTCATAGATTTTAGAATTTTGACATTTTTTAATGTTTCCTATGAAAGCATAACTTTCTTGTAGTTATAATTAAAAACTGAAAAAAAAATTGCCGTTGTTAATGTACGCAGAAAATTTAACACTATAAAATTATATACTTCATAATTGATGAGTACGTCTCGAGTGTATGTTTTTTAATATTTTATCCGATTATGATTTTTTTTTTCCATGAGTTTTTAAGTATACTTTTAAAAACCATCACTGCGCTACTTCGGCACAACTGAAAATTATCTTTTTTTCATCCATCTTTTGTAATCATCATTTATCACGAACTAGNCTTTTTTTCATCCATCTTTTGTAATCATCATTTATCACGAGCTAATATTGATATCAACTTTATTTTCCAGGTGAAAAACCTCACGTTTGTGCTGTATGCAATAAAGGATTTTCCACATCCAGTTCGTTAAATACACACAGACGAATACATAGTGGTGAAAAGCCTCACCAATGCGGTGTTTGTGGAAAACGGTTTACTGCCAGTTCCAATCTATACTATCACAGAATGACTCATATTAAGGTAGGAAAAAATATTACTTTTTAAAAAGTTGACCCATTTACGTTCAGTTGTAAACCACTCAGTAAATTATGAGCTTGCGNTTACGTTCAGTTGTAAACCACTGAGTAAATTATGAGCTTGCGAAACTCGTCATAATCTTAGAAGTTCAGTAATAAACGTGTCGTTTCAATGAGTTGGTTACGTTTATAAAAAAAAGTATCAGATTTCACTGCAAAAATTCAAATAAACACGGTGATTTTATTAACAGCGAGATATAAAATTAATATCCTTATTAACTATTACTATTACTTATTTATAAACTGATAATTATGACGGTACCGTAAAGAAATATGATGATTATTTCAATAGGTATATCGTATATTGTTATGTTTATTATTTTATAATTTGGTTATTATGGACCACACAGATTGCGGAATCGAATATTTATAAAAAAAATTTTATGGTTTTAATTAACTCACGCATTTGTAAATAAACTAAACATAATTATTTGCTGGGTTTATTATATTAGTCACTAATTTTTATTGACGTCGTCAAGTGGATCATAGTGAAATCACGTTAGGAGCCATTTCGATCATAGAGTTCTGATCTTAACGGTTATAATCGTTCAAATGATTAACATAAACTAATGGTAAATAATATACCGTCGGTAGCCCAAGACAATTTAACTGTCGTGACTAGAGAAGAGCCAAAGACAAGATCCACGCACAACTTCTGGGTCGGATATGATTTTTAACGTTTCGAGGGTCACGTAAGATTATGGGTCTTTAATAATACGTCTGAACCAGTCTGGGGGGCATTCAGATTGTTATTATCTCAGCACAAGGAGGTAGATTGGTTAGTGGATATTATGTTGTATATATATTTTTAACTCAAATTATACGTGAAATTAAGATCAAAACAATCACGTGGAACACGTAACGTCGAGGCTACTTACTTGCGGCCCATGCGATAGTGACCGGATACTGGCTGTGCTTTAATTTTTATTATGATTACGTGTGCTCGCAATTTAAAAATACACTATATGTTAATCATCTAGTCCCAAGGGTTTTAATAAACCGATCAATTTCCTTGATGGCGTCGTGGAAAATTAGTACGAGGCGTTATAGTGTGGCTCCCTCCCCAGTCCACTTGATACCTTAATAACACACTAAGCCGTTTGATTTTAATTTCTTCATGTTTTACCGGTTCGGCAACAGAGAATCGATAATTAAAAATATAGTTTGGCTACACAAGTATGCAATAAATTAATTTATACTCGTACAATACCAAAAGTAGAGAAAACATTTTTTTAGTTCCCACAGTTTTGCTCTTCTATTGACAAATATTCTACCGGATCATTATGTATTCATGATGTTTCAAATCTAGTCAAAATATATTCACTAGAATATACACGAACAGATTTATGCGGATGTAAGTACTGTATATATACAGTTGTTTATAATTAGTATAATGTTTATTATTGAGTGTGTGCGTATACGCACGTGTAGAGGTGAAATGACGGGTGTGTTAATACGCGGATTCCAAATGGGCCTGTTCAAGGTTCTGCATTCCATTCGCACAATTTTTTCTATTTAATAATAATCGATAACTTAGAGATTATCGTCGGCTGAGACGGTTTTCCTGTGATAACATTTTGACATTTTGCCGTTGTGTGTCAAATAAATAATTACACTTCGATTTGCCGTTGCGAATATGCAACTGACAATAAATTACAGTTGCTCCGTACGAGATGACAGCGGAGGCACACGAGAAAAAACACCTGACGTGATGAGCTGGTGCAGCACACAAACGTCCTTTGGGCACGCAACACGAACGAGCTGTGTGACGTAGAACCGACTAACCCGCAGGGTCGATGAAATAGCCCCGGCACTCGACGCGTCAATAATAACAACGACAAAGTAAATAATTACAGCGATTTGAAACATTATATCATAATATATCTATAGCGCCAATCGATGCGTGAATACGTGTAAAAAAATACTGAACGTTCCAGAAGAGAAAACTAATACCTAATTTAATTAATACGCGTAAAATAGTGAGATAAATCGGATAGAGCGTCGTTTGGCTTGTTACGAGCCGTTGGTGGCATCTGATGCTGATAATATGAATCAAAACTGTAATCAGAAACCTCATGTCGATATTATAAGGCGCTGCTACGGATAGGGCTTTAGCCGATTGCCAATCATCCGGCTGATAACCACACACTGAAATTAGTCGCCTAGATATCCAACGGACTAGAAACTTTGTTTGGCTACATTCGATAAAATTTCTTCGACTTGGTTACTCGTCTTACGGATGGTGGCCGAACATCTTTTTCGAAAAATACAACATTTTAAACACACAAGTTTGGGCAACGTATTATGAGATGTGAATATTTAATAAATATTACCAGCGATGACGAATTTGTTGGAAACTCATTTGCCGCAAAACATTACGCTCGGGTGCTTTACCATTCACATTACCTGGTTTTATACATTTTATCAATTTTTCATATGTAGTCAGTACGCGTTAAAGCTCCGGGTGGTCGGTCTTAGACCAAGACACAGTGGTGGCAGTGTGTTTATACCGACCGGCTCACAGTCGGCTTTGTCGTGGGAACTGCTATCCGATGTTGTATCTCGAACATTATCGTCGCTGGGTATCTATGCCGTACATTATATTCGGGTGCAAAGAGGACGTAAATTTTCGCCGGTACACCGGTTGACTGCTGTAGACGACAAGCACGTTTAAACGTTGTTGCACGCGCGTGTCAATTTTTTTTTTAACAATTTTAACGCTATTTAAAATTGTCGGAGGCTCATGGTCCGCGAGATTTATGTTTAAGCCCACCCGGTTATGTGTAAAAGCCGATAACGACAAAGCATCAGAGGCGCAGATACGATCTAACAAGGTGCCTTATGGACGTATACTACCAACAGGTTTAGGGGCAAATAACCTTCATAAAATGACTATGTCGCTATAATTTTGATCAATAGTTATACGGTGTTAGTTATTTTGAGTATTGCTGTTGAATTTTCTACTTAACAAGATTTATTAATCTACAATTTTCATATTATTCATATATGTGTTTGACCAATTGAAAAATGATGTTTATATATTTTGTTATCTGTAGTCTACCATAAGGATTTCAGATATATATATATATATATATATTATTTTTATTAAACTAATAATCGTATATAGTTACTTAGTAAAATTCATCGTCCAATATAATATTTAATTTTGTGTTTTGCACTTTTGCAATTTGTACTTTGAATTATTTTGTAGTTTAAAATTGATTCATAGTATTACAAATATAAGATTAGCAAGAGAACATTTTATTGTATTAACTAAATTAATTATTAAAATACGGTCCTCGCGGACCATATTTTATGTAAAATAACAGAGGTATGTCTAGAGGTTTGACAGTATAGTCAACGTCCGTGACGAACCCAAAGGGTCTTCAAGAACGACATTTCGGATAATGATCTGATAAAATAACATAATAACATTTTTACTACCTTCGTATTATACTAATTTCAACCATAGTGTTCTCGAGATCATTATTATCTAAAAGCAGCGAACCAAAGTAAGACTCGGGAAAAGAAAACAAGACCATATGACATCCTGTGCACACGGTAACCTTTTGTCCTGCACCCTCTTCAAGTGGTCTATAAAAAGGCGTTTTCGGTAAAGTTGCGAAATCATCATCGATCGAAAGATGTATGATGGCTGCTGGTCCACTAAGAAAAAGTAAACCCTCCATCAAAACTAATGACTAGAAGTTGGTTCAAAAAATATAATTTGACGTCTGAATTGATGGTGCACGTGTCACTTAAATTTTAAAAAAATACACTGCATTAAAAGTGATTGAATTAAGCAATTCAAACAGTTTTACTCATTGCCTTGATCATAAAATTTTATATACTAACAAAATATATTCATTAGGCAAACTTTTCTTTATATTTCTAAACTATTTTTAGTGCAGTATATATTTTTATAATTAATTAATTATTATAATATTAACAATAATTACAGAGTTCGCCTTAAGAAATCTATGGTAATTTATTATGGTGATTTTTGTTATTTCATTAAAAAGGAATTTATTTTTCTATTGAATGTTAATAAATAAAAAATTTATTGATCATACTACTGTTTGAAATGTATCGTTCAAATTTCAAAATTATTTACATTTTCTCATAGCCACAGAGCTTAACTGTTTAAAGAATTATTTCATGTGCATATTTCGTCAGGTGCATCTCGGAGCGATATTGTAAGTTCGTTTGTAATTTTTTGTTAGCCAACTGTCACACAACAATACAAAAAAAAAAAGCAATTACATAACGTGCGTGTTGTTTTCAAGGAAACGACTGAATATATATCGTGCGTACTTCTATATAAGATACATTGGGCGTTTGAAGAGCAATTTCCTATTTCACAAACCATATGGTGTTCCGTTGTGTATGCGTCTTAACCAAAACACCGGCAATACTGACGGCCCTGGCCGCGGTTTATAACAATCGCTATTATCTTATTCTTCTACTTCCCCCTAAAAAAAGGGGGTTTCTGACAGACCGGAACCCCGTAAAAAAACACACATCTTGGACACGGTCCAAGTAACAATTCTCACAACACCCCCACACATTGACTGGAAACTAACAAAAATGGGTAGCTAATTTATTCAAATACATACTGAACGTGGTGTTATCAATTTGAAATCACATAATGTACTTAATTTAAACGGGTTCCAGTTTTTTTGCTTCAAACTTTAATATACTTGAAAACGTTAAAAATTCAAGGAGTAAACTAAAAATGTTATTTTAAGCGTAGAGAACTATTTTAAATAAGCTGATTTGAATTTAGAATGTGTTTTTTATTTTATTTATAAATTTCTTCGGTATAGCTTTCATTTTTCTGCCACCATCTTTGTTTGTTAAATATTTTAATGTTGACAAAACAAGAATGACTGATCGTCATTTAAGAATTTTAATTAATTTTTAAATATTATAAACATTATAGGCAAATAATTTGCATTAAAAATTCATGTTTTTTAAACACACAAAGGACGATAAAATATTATTCTGAATATAAACTTTTAGTTTATCCGTTTTTCTAAATTTATGTAGAAAGTTCCAAGATAATAACTCGTTGTATTCAATAACTTATAATTTTTTATTCAAAATCGTTGTATCAAAGATTAAATATAAATTTGTTAGCCAATTATAGTTCTGTCTGCAGAAATAAAATGATCGCCGCATACCAGGTTTCCCGTTTGTATTGATGAATTTACAATAGGAACAATAGTCGAAGGATCCTCGTAGAAGTCATGTTCAGTATGATTATTATTATAAAAACATGTTTCTTATTTTGTTATGGGCCCACATGGAACATTATTATATCGAGTATCTTTTGTATGTTACCCTTACAAAAAGTAAACTGTACTGATCGAATAATTACCGGCCAAGTCACAATCATTAAATTACTAGTTACGCCTCATGTTGTGGAGATCTTCAAGACACCAAACGGAATAAAAAGAGCACGTATGTCTGTGTGGACAGGTGGCATACCCTTACGATTCGTTCCGACAGTCAATTTTTTTGTGTACCATCACCTTTTCCTGGTGTTTTCTTCATTAAGAGGCCGCCCGTTATGCACGCTACTTTTTAGGATACCGTCAGACGCTAATATTTGGGTCAGACAATTCATCCATTAGAATCTAATACAATAACACTTCCACACTCAATTTCTTAAGTTACAACTGTTTCAATAAAAAACACATCCCATATTGTGATGATAAACTCTTAAACGGAAAATTACTTCCTGCTCATTTTACGTATCCAACTTAATAATAAAACATCGTAATGTAATAAATAACTTTTACGGTTTCAATCGTAGCTTTTCAATGCTAATTTATATTTTAACTGCTATAAAAAAAATTCAATATGCTTTCATTGAATACAATTTGTATTTTCGAGATTTTTTTCGACTTCATTTAATATATTGAAACAGAAATGTGATTCATTATAAAATAATTGTCTCAAGACGGTTTGCCGCAAAAAAAAAAAAAA